AAAAGAAAAGAAGAAAGAATAAAAAGGGAAAAGGGAAAAGGAAAAAAGGGGGGAGGAAAAAGAAAAGAATACACAAAGAAAAAAGAAAGAATATATAAAGAAATGTCTCCCCCTCTCATCAAGACAAGTACTAACATTTCAGTAATGATCACCTACCCTAACATTTCAACCAAAGACCTCTTCTTCCCATATCTCATCAATCAAACAAACAAACTCTCTTTTGTTGAATATTGTTTCCATACCCCTCCACTTTCTGTCCCATTTTTCCTGCCTTCATGGCACTGGGCACAAAACAGCCCCTCAAAACTCTCCATTGGATTTGCAGGCACTGTTTGAACCATTTTTCCAGTGTCTTCAGGGGAGGCAGAAATTCTTCAGCGATTTCTCCAGGAAGCAATGACAGTACTACTGCTACTGGAAAATAAAAACCATGGAAAAAATTTTTTCTCCTGATGATTTCCCTTGGAATTAATGGAAGCGTGGAAAGACAGAGGAACTGCAGACCACTGGAGGGAGTATTGCATCATGAAAGGCGAGACAGTCAACACATGTTTCTTTCATCTTCTTATGAATGAATGAATGAATGAATGAATATGTAAAAATCTGAGAGATGGGAGATGAACTAACTTTCTCTGAACATGGAGTTATTACTTTTATTTTTGTGTTGTGTTGTTAGATGCCCAGAGTTGCTGTGCTGAGACAGGTGGCCATACAAATTAAGTCAATAAAGAAATAAACATATAAATGCATTTTTATTAGGTGTATTCAACCTGGGGATACTTTAATTGGGATTCCTGTTTTTAGCCAACTTTATTTGAATTTGAAAAAAGCTAAGCAGGGTTGGGTGTGGTTGTACTCAGATGGGAAGCCATCAGGAAATTCCAAGTTTAAACACCAAATTAGGAAGTTTGTTTGTTGATTCGTTTTTCAAAACACCAGAGAAGGCAACGGCCAAACACTCCCAGGAGATTTCATGGATGCATTCATGAAGTCACCTAAAGTGGAACATGACTAGAAGCAACCTTGGCCGTTGCTGGTGAATAGGTTGGACTGCATGGTTCAAATGGCCCTTTCCATCTCAGGGGTTCTATCAAGAAGTACAAGTACGCCTCATACCACCCATAAGAATTGCCCTCAAACTCTCATTTTGCTTTGCAAGCTGTTGCCTTGGCAGATTCATTTCCATCACAATGAATGAGGATAAGTAGGGGACAAAAAACAGAATAATGTCTCTGTCTTCTCCTGTATGGAGTCTGTTGCTTCAGAAAAGGGGAAAGATTCAGGTAACATTTTCTAACCTGCTTCCATAAAAGCAAAAGGGCATCCCAGGATCTAAGGAGGACGGAAGGGGAGGGTACCCTCCAGCCACTGCATAAGCCAAAATTGAAGTGTGTGAAGCAGGGCCCTGGTGTCTCCCATGTCACTTTGGTATGGTTTCCTAGGTCTCTTTCACCCACAAGGAAGCACTTGCCATCAGAAGCAGTATAGAGCATTTGAAGGATTGGGAGCCTGGGAAGTTTGGGGGATTTTGGCGGGGGGAGTTTGCTCTTGCTTTGGCTGTAGTCTATCTAGTCAGATGCTTTTTGTCCTTCATTTGTTTTGCTTTCTACTGGAAAACAGTGAGAAATTTTGGTACCAATGTTCAGCTGTTTGCTAGACTTTTGTACTGTGATCTGGAGGACTCAGAGGAGGCAAAAAGAAACTTTGAAGGCTGGGCCTAAGAGTTGCCCACCCCTAATATAATAATTATAAAATATAAACTAATAATTAGTGCTCCATTATTGAGATCAATTAGTAAAAAGAAACCTTACAGATCTCAAGGAAGGATTGGGAAAGTGAACCTGAAGAACAGGTGCTCCCATGGAGTAGTAGAAACATAGAGATCCACAGAGGAGGCAAATAGGAGAAAATTGTAAAATAAAATGTGCGTCGTGTTGCAAATTCTACCCTGGATGTCTTTGGGCACAATATTGCAACCCAAGTATGAAAGTGTGGAACCTAAGCTGTGACATTACAATGCTGCTGTCATTATGGTTAGAAAGAGACACCCATGAGTAGAACATCTACTTTATGTAGAAAAGGTCCCTGGTTGACCATGTAGCTTCTCTAAGAGGGTCTAGGAAAGTCACCAGTGAACCAGAGTTGACCGTACTCTTCTTCACTGTGGTATTTTATTTATCCCATTGATCTTGAATGTGTGTTTGTGTGTGTTGATTATATGCCATCAACTTGGTGTTAACTCTTGGCAACCAGATAGACAGAGATAGAGAGATATCAACAGAGATTAGATTGTCTTTTCTGTTGTTTCAGAAGCCACCCGCATTTAAGACATATGATTCCAGATCTGACTTCTCTCTATATAGACGTCCAATAGCTCTATTGCTATCTCTTCTGATGAAAAGAGTTTGCTTCTGCTCTTGGTAAATACCCCTACGTTTTCTGTTCTTCACAGGAGAAAGCTATGTATGTTCATCCGACAACTTCTTTAAGAAAGTGGAGTACACCAAGAACGTCAACCCAAATTGGTCCGTCAATGTGAAAACCTCTGCCAACATGAAAGCTCCCCAATCCCTGGCTAGTAGCAACAGTGCCCAGGCAAAGGAGAACAAGGATTTTGTGCGTCCCAAGTTGGTGACCATCATCCGGAGCGGAGTGAAGCCAAGGAAGGCTGTCCGTGTGCTCCTGAATAAGAAAACAGCCCATTCGTTTGAGCAGGTGCTCACCGACATCACAGAAGCCATAAAGCTGGAAACAGGAGTCGTTAAAAAGCTGTATACCCTGGATGGGAAACAGGTAAGGCCTTTAAACTCCCAATTCAGATCCGTACAACAGTGGGACAAACAAGGATGTGGCAGCATTCTGGGAAACTGGTTTCAGTTATGGCCAAGCCATATCTTCATTTGGAAGAAAAATGATTCAAAATGGAGGTCCATAGACTGAAATTTAGAATCTCTCCTAAACTTAATCTTAATCCAAAGTCTAGAATCCGGAACTGGGACTTCTTAGACCCATGTGCTTCTTAAAGGAGGTTCTCCTTTGGTGTCTCTTAACAAAACCTGATTTCTTATCATGACTGATAGAGCGCTTGTACTGGTCTGCTGACTTGGGTCATCTGAGATTCGTATAATTCAGATTAGTTTTTCTTGAGTGGTAATTGAGATTGCACTAAAACTAATGCTATTTGTTGTGGTTATGTGAACCTAGACATCATGGTTAGCAAATCATGGCTTATGGTTTAACATGATCTGTGGACCTAACTTCTGTGGCTTATTCTAAAACCATAAAATCACCTGAACTTCCTCCTGTGTTAGAAAGGTAGTAGAAAATAAGTAAGTGAGTGAATCCATTTGCACATTTATCCATTATATGTATTTAAATGTAAAGAAGGAGGGAGGGAAATACAACTCCATATTTAATCATTTCAATATTTTTAGATACTCCAAAATGGCATAATCTACTTTAAGAAAAAGACAGCACCGAAACAATACTATGTATAAATAATAAATGAATGAATGAATGAATGAATGAAAGAAAGAAAGAAAGAAAGAAAGAAAGAAAGAAAGAAAGAAAGAAAGAAAGAAAGGGGAGGAGAAGAAAGGGCTGCTTGTAGAACTATAATTATAACCTAAATAATTCAAGAAAGTGGGGCCAAATTGCTTGAAAATCCTCTTTCCTGTCTCTCTATTGGAACCCTGTCAGTTCACCCGAGGAACATATGTCAATGATGCCTTCAATCTAATCAAAACGTGCAGGTAATTCATTAAATAATTCAAAAGCCAAGCTATTCCTTATCCAAAGAGCAGCCTGGGAAATGTACTCCTAAATTTGAAACTGTAATCTCTTCCACCTATTCCCTTCTCCTGCCCTTTACTATCACTAGATCCGTTACCCTTGTTTTCCATGTCCATTTTCTGACACAGAAGCCCTGATGACTAAGTGAACATCTAATGAAGCTCAAAATTAACCTGTCCAAGTGGCCACCATCTGCTCCTCAACTTGTCATGCCAGTGGCAGCAGTTACTGTACTCAATGGTCCCTGCAATTTGCATCCGGAAGGGGATGACAGCAATGTTCTGAGAAAAACAGGTGCAAAATGACTGTGGTGCTAATCACCAGGAATATTCCCCAAAAGACTGACCTGCATCTCTACGCAAGCAGTTAGCTCTTATTTTTAGACAGTATCCTCTTTGGATTGTTTTCGGTCTAAGTAACCAGAAGCTCCCTACAGATTTTCATTCATGGATGGAAGCCATGGATGCACTGTATGTTCCATCCCTCTTTCTGCTCTTGAGCACCCAATATTCAGGGGAGAACCTCAGGAAAATATGATGAATAGCAATAGCTAATTGCAATTATGCTATTATCAAGCCCCTTACAGCAGTTCAAACCTAAGAAAGCTGACCAATTCAGAATAGGCAGGGTTATTGCAACAAGAAAGGGATTAGATTATAGAATCTTGAAAACCAGATATGGGTAATTTGGCCCTCATTCTTCAGTATTTAAAGTGACTTCCTCCCTCCAGTGCCTTTGATCTTTTTTCTAACTAAGTCTTGGTTTAATGGGGAAAATGCTAATTGGTTATTTGACGCTACAGAAATGTCCTCTTGTTCTGCAGAATCATGGACGCATCCATTTGCATGGTCCATGCATTCCCACATATATATTCAGACTACCCAAGGTTCCTTGTCCTCAGCCCAATGGATGGACCAAAGTTAGGCTTCCTTGAAGCTCAATGGCAGTGGATTTATTGGCATTTGGAGTTGGTGCTTGTTCTAGCAGGCAGATGGGAGGGAGGGAGG